AGAGAGAATAGGCAAGGGAGTGAGAGAGAGACAGCACTTTTAAAGTATTAAAGGATTTTAAATCTGTGGGAAACAAGGTACCTCAGTGAGCTAAAATACTGACTTAAATGTCTCATGCTTCCAGGAACACATCATTCCCCTGACTCATATTCTTTACCTTATGTATGAATTACTTCACGAAATAAAAGAACAAACTGTCTTTTTATGTTTATTTGGTTTCCTCCTATCACTTAGATGTGTATGTAACAAAAACAAAACACATTGCGTTCACAACAGACTATACAATTAACTCTTTTTTTATACTGTACATCTAACTGAATAATCTCACTTGCGAAACAGCCCCATATTTGATGTTTTGTGTACAACTGATATTACATGTGCAAAAAATCACTTTATTTGTGAAGTACATTACACGTACAAGGAATTTGGTCTGCTGTCTGATGCAAAAACATAAATAGAAAACAAGTTAATAATGAATGTACAATTTACACAAAAGCTTGCACTGCTCTCAATCATCTCTGATGCACTTCTTTGTTATGCTGATTATGTTTGTATCTCTTTGGAGAGTGTTAGAGATGACAATTCCTCAGAACTTGGAGGACTCCACCATACTTACTGTGCAAATTGTCAGTTTCTAGGGGGATGGGTTTTGGAGGGTTTTTCTGAAAGCCAGTGAACATTTCCACTGTTTTGAGCTGAAGGCTATCATGCTGCCAGACTCCTGCTGCCCTTCTGTATCTGATCTGATCTCCATTGCTGATAAGACCCACCAAGGCAGTGTCATCTGCAACCCTGAGTGTAGTAGAGAGTAGTGTGACAGGGGAGATGCTGGAGGTGGTCACTGGGATACAGGGAGTAGAGTCATGGGGAGAGAATACAGCCTTGAGGTGCACTGGTGTTCACAGATAAGTAGTCTGACAAATAGAAACCCATTCACACATGTTGCCTTGTGTTTGTTAGGAAGTTGATGATCCACTGACAGATGTGGCGGAGAACATTTAAATGAGTCAGTTCATTGCAGAGGAGTTCTGGGATGTTGGTGATAAATGGAGAACTAAAATCAACGACAGAGAGTCTCTTATATGATCCTGGAGATTCCAGATGTTACAGGGTTTAGTTGAGGCAATTTTAAACTGCATTCCCCACTGACCGACTGACTCTGTATGCAAATTGTAAGGGCATTCAGATTTGAATCTGTGATAGTTTGGAGGTTCAGGCTCAAAGTAAGTGCAACTGGTATATGGCCGATAAAACTTTGAAACGGGGATGATAGTAGAGGAGTTGAAGTAGGCAAGGACCTGCACTGGTCCAAGGACTGGTTCAGTAAGTCTGTGAGTACTGGGTAGAGCTGAGCAGCCCAGTACTTCAAGGCGTTTGGAGAAACGAGATATGGACCAGCAGCCTTCTTGCAGTTTTGGTTTGCAAAGAGCTGAAGGACCTCCTGTTCTTTGATAATAAGGGGAGAGACA